GGGGCGCATGCTCTGCTCGCTGAAGTTCCCGCGCTCTGAGGCGCCGACCCGTCCTGAGGCCCGGACCTCCTAAGACCCGCGCCGAGGCCTCGCGAACCTTGCGCGGCACCGAGGGCCCCACCAGGGCTTCAGGCACAGCTCCGGCTAGGGCGGCGGCCGCGAAGCGGTCCTCGACAACGTACGAAATAAGGTCATCTAGGGCCCCCACCTCCTCCTCTCCTTCCCTTTCTGGATCTCCTCCTCTAGTCTCCGCCATCTCCTCCTCAAGACCTGACTCGAACCACAGGAAGACCTCGGGGGGGCAGAGCTTCCCGACGGGAGCAACCCGTGCTTTTGAGATGGCGTCATCGATCTCAGCGCTCGTGACCGCGCCCCACGGTCGGCTCAAGAGGCTTCGGCCGTCACTGTCCTCAACTTCTATCCACCTGGTCCGACCTGGGACCGTGCAGCGCGGGGCCCGGCCCCCGCACCTTTCTATTGACAGAGCCAGGAAAAAGGTGGACGCGAGATCGCCCTCCACCGGGGTGCGCTTCCACCCCAGACGAGGCTGAAGATCGGAGGCCTCCAGAAATCTCTGAGCGGACCGGTCCCAAATCCCTTGGATCAAACCCCTGCCGAAGGCGTGATCTTCTTTCCTGGACCTGGAATGGTAGACCTGAAGGTTTCGAAGAAAGAGGTCCTGGGGCCTCGCGGGCGGCGCGCCCGGCTTCCTCAGCGCTGCAAGCGCCTCCAGCAGCGGCCCTCCGGCGTCGCTGACGTGCTCCGAGGTGCTCAGCTCGGCCCTCCTGACGCCGAGGACGTGCCCTGCTGCTGCTGCATCTGCGCCTGCATGCGCATCATCATGGCCGCGATCTTCCCGAGATCCTGGTCCGAGAGGCTCGGCGCCGGTTGCTGCGCGCGCATCTCCCTCTCCTGATTGACGAAGTTCTGGACCGTGCCCCACACCCTCTCGTTGGCCTTGGCCTGGGTCTCGATGCAGATCTTCATGTCTGACAGCGCTATCTGCATCTCGGTCGTCGTCATGGGCCGAGACTCCGAGGGTCCTGGTGGTTTGGCCGTGGCTCCGGCCGCTCGGCTCGCCGCCCTCTGCGCCGAGAAGTCGATCGCCCGGCCTCCTGAGGTAATCATCGTCGGCTCGGCCGCCTCCAGCTGCGCCGGGGAGGGGTGCTTGTAGGGCACGTACCCCTCGCCCACCGGCACGTAGAGGTTCTGGGGAACTGGAGGGATCCCCGCCGCCGACACCTTCGCCGTAGGTCCGCTCCCCTCCAGGATGCGGCGAGCCCGCTGAGGTTCTGGTCCTGGCGTCCACGGATCCGGTGGCAGGATCGGGAAATGGCCGTTCTTGTACGCCTCCACCATCTGAGCTGCCTTCGCCTTGGCGTCCGCACGGTTGCTCTTGCCCGCCTGCTTGTCGATCTTGCGCTTCTCGGCCTCGAAGATCTCCTCCGCCGTCTTGTCCCTCAGGAAGAGGCGCTGGGAGCACTGCCGACAGTGCTCGTAGACGCTGGTGGAGTTGCTCCCCGACTTGCGAGCCCACGGCGGGTGAGGACACGAGTCGGCGGGGAAGCTCTCGACGAACGTCTTCGGAAGAGTCTGGCAGAGGTGCTTCATCCGGCCCAGGATGTACGTCATGCTGACCAGGCGCAGGTACCAGTTGCGCCAACGATACTCGTACTTCCCTAGCTGCATGCGGCCGTCCTGGAAAAGCTCCTTCTCGCTCTCCTGCATCCCCTCGGCCCTCAGGGTGTCCTCGAGAGTCTCCGGAAGCCGCTCCCACTCCTGTCCTGACGACACCTCGCTGTCGCTCTCGATGATGGAGCCCAGCAGCTTGCTGCGCCTCGGAGTCCCCGGCTTGCTGCCGACCCCCGTGGTCTTCAGGACGGGCTTCCTGCGATCGGGCATCCGATCCTGCGTCGCTGTCCTCCGGTCTGGTCGAGGCCAAGTTGAGCTTCCTGACGTCTTGAACCGGACAGGCTACGGACCCGCTGCTCCCCGGGACTCCCGAGGCATTCGGATCCCGGACCCTGGATCCCAAGACAGAACCAGAGCGAGAGAGAAAGGAGAGGAAAGCTGAAAACACAGGCTGCTCCCGGCCCTCACTGCCCGCTCCCCTTCGGTCCTGGGCGGCGTGCGGCAGGCAGCCCATGGGCAGGGTCGCCTTCATGTCCTCGGGGATGCTGAAGTGCTCGGGAGCGCAGTGAATTAGAGAAACCGAGCGATGCCCAGACGGCATCCGGAAAAGCTGCCTCACGACTCTGTCTCCGCAATCTGTCACGGTCATCTCGTCAGCCTTCAGGTCGATGTTGGCCTCGATCATCTCAAGAAACTTGGCGGGCAGGATCGGCGGGACCTGGCCTTCCAGAATTAGAAACTCGATGAACCCGCATCCTGCCAAAGAACATGGGACCCAGGCCCTGCCCACCGTCTTGGCCAATCCGCCGATGCCCGAGGCCTTGCGACCGTCGAGCGGGGTCCAGTCGACAAACACGAAGTAGCCCCGCTTGCGAAAAGCCTCAACTAGATTCTTCACGTCCGGGGTTCCGATGAGGGCCTGGCCTGCTGCCGTGTCCACCAATGCGTGATCCCTCATACTCTTGAGCGAAACCTCCGGTGTCTCCAACTGGCCAATCAGGCCTACCCACTGTTCAATGCTGAAGGTCGCCCACGTCGATGACTCGTCGCAGTGGCTCTTGTCGAGGTCGGCCTCCGACTCGAGCTCCGTCGTCACAACATCGGTCAAGAACGAGGGGTCTCCGTCGGCATTGGAGTAGCAGAAGAAGCCAGGAGAGGACCCTTTCGTCGCGGCCGAGGACGAGGCTCCCTTCTTCTCGCTATTGATCCGGTCCAGCTTCGATCTGTAGGGCTTCCTGCAGTCCTCTGCCCAGTGTCCGCGCTCTCCACAGTTGGCACATCTCGTCTTCTTTTTCAGGTCGGCTGAGGTGATGCGGCGGTATCCGGGCTTGGACGCGCGCCTACGGTCAAAGAATTCACGATCAACCTTGCGAGTAGCCTTCATCTTGCGAGCCTCGGTCCAGGTCCTGCGTTTTTCCTTCCCAATCTTTTCCTCGATGATGGCGGCCAGCACGGGCATCAGATCGTCCTCCGCCAAATCCTGCTCCTCGAGGGCCGTGAGGAACGTCAGAGCGTCATCCTCGAGGAGCTCGAACGAGTCGTCCACCGTCTCGTAGAACGACACCGCCTCCGGATCATCGCACCACGGGGCCGGAGGTGACGGAACCTCGAGCTCCTCCAGGGCCTGCTCTACATAGGCCTTCGTCGCCGTAGGGGTCGATCCTGGGAGCACGCTGCGCTCGCGCACATCCAGCAGCAAAAGAGCCTGTCTAATAGCCTGAAACGACTTGTCGCCGCCCGCCAACGTCCTCAAGTTGATTTTGTTTTGTTGACTGAGATTGGCGCCCTCCTCCAGATATCGTGCGAGAACTCCGTCGGGAAGCTTCAGTCCGAAGGTCTCCGCCGTCGAGACCTGGGCGTCCCTCCTGAGTACGTAGTCCGTCAAGCTCTCGCCCCGGCGAATGCTGTAGTCGAAGAGCGCCTCATTCTGTGCCTCCCTCTCCTTGTCGCCTGGGCGCTCCCCGTTGAGTATCGCCAAGTGGTCCAGTAACTTCTCCACGCCGTCGCGTACGTCTAAGGTCGATCTCACCAGCTTGAACTTGCTTTGGATCTCGACGGGAAGAGTCTCCAGAACTTTAGCTGCCTGAACCTCCGCGGCATACCCAGTCCTCTTCGCCCATGCACGTAGATTGCCCTTGTAGAGGTCGAGATGCTCATAGTTGAGCCAGGTCGGCGGAGCGCCGAAGTCACGGTTCGGGCGATCCCAGGAGCCACTCCACCAGCCACCCCACTGGCTCGAGTCGCTCTGCCCGTCCTGCTCCGTCGCCACCGCCGCCGCGCCCGTGGACGCCGTGCCCGCCGCGGCCGTGTCCGCCGCCGCTGGTGGGGCCGGCACCCACTGCCATGAACCTGCGGTCGAACTCCATCCTGACCACGCGCTTCCCCACGTCTGGCGCCACCAAGGGTCTTGGGCGCCGACTGAAGTCGCGGCCCCGGCTGCAGGGCGCGTGGTCTCTGGAAGTGATCCGGCCCAGGGATCCGTCGGGGTCGTCTGTGTCTGACCATGCTGTCGGCCAGCGCCCGCATCATCCTCCCCCTCTTGCCCCTCACCAGCTGCTCCGCTTACCATTGTCCCAAGCTGAGAGCACGGCAGGAGGTGTGGAAAAGAGGGCGAAGGGGGGGGATATATTTTGCTAGGCACCAGCAGTGCATCCTAAGCCCAAAAGGGCTACGGAAAGAGTCCGAGCCCTAACCCACGACTAAACCCGAAGAGCGGGGGAGGGGAGGTCGAGAGAGAGAGAGGGACCGGGGCCCTCGAGGGCCCGAGGGCCACCGGGACCCCACGGACCTCCGGGACCCGGACCCCGGGGCCCGAGGAGGACACAAGGGGCGCAGAAGAGGCCCCCAAGAAGCCCCAAGAGGCTCCCAAGAGACCCCCAAGAGGCCCTCTAGTGGCCCCAAGAGGCCCAAGAGGCCCCCAAGAAGCCCCAAGAGGCGCCCAAGAGGCCCCCAGAAGTCCCAGCCAACCACGAGATCCCAACCAGCATCCATGAGGCCTCTGACCCACCACCCACGCACGGTGGCGGGATAGGCCGACGGCCACTGGATAAATGCTGAGTGAGAGGAGGGGAGGGAAAAAGAGAGGAGGGACGAGGGCGAAGAAGGATCACATCAGTCGGAGCGCCCCGGATCGGCGGCACTGGCCGAAGGCCACTACAATATATCTATACATATATATATATATATATATATATAGAATCGTAGTTGTTGAATTGGAGCTGAGGGGAGAGGATGAGACAATAATGTCTATTGAATGGAAATTGAGGGGAGAGAAGGAGACACGGGAGGGCAAACTGGCGAGGCGGGATGAGGAGGCAGGGACAAAGAAAGACGCCGGCGATCAGGGCGCAGCTGGCTGGGCCATCCACGTCCTCCACTGTGACAGTTGGCCGGGAGCCTTTCTTGCCGTGCCTCTCTGCGATGAACTTCTCCAGCCTCCACCCGCGAGGCGATCTCTGGAGCCGAGCAGCGTGCACGCCCCACGCGTCCCCCTCTCCCCGCAGAGAGAGAGAGAGAGAGAGAGAAAGAAAGGAAGAGAGAGAAAGAGAGAGAGAGATCGGCGAATTCCGTGGATCCGCGCTGGACCCCTCCTCCCCTGCAGCGCGGAGCACGCCAGGGGCGGGGCCGGAGGCGCCGCCGCCACGGGGCTCCAGACATAACCCGCGCGAAGCTCCGAAAGTCTGGGCTGATGCCGGCTTTGGTCCTTCGGCTGCCCGCCCATCACCCTCGTTCTGTCTTCCATCCCACTCTCCCCCTCCACCTCCTCCTCCTCCTCCTCCTCCTCCTCCTCCTCCTCCTCCTCCTCCTCCCCCTCCTCCTCCTCCTCCTCCTCCTCCTCCTACTTCCCCGCCCGCTCCTCCCGCTGCCGTGCTCCTCCCTGCCCCGCAGGCCCTCCTCCCCCCCCCATCCCCTCTCCGCCCCGCCCCTGCCCGCCGCCTCGCCCTCCACTCCCTCTACTGCCACCCGGAGGAGGAGGAGGAGGAGGAGGAGGAGGAGGAGGAGGAGGAGGAGGAGGAGGAGGAGGAGGAGGGGGAGGGGGAGGGGGAGGGGAGGGGGAGGGGGAGGGGAGGGGGGGGAGGAGGAGGAGGAGGAGGAGGAGGAGGAGGAGGAGGAGGAGGAGGAGGAGGAGGAGGAGGAGGAGGAAGACCTCCCGAAATACGGTTGTCGCCAGGAAGATCGCGTGCGACATCGATCTCGGAAAGGCACGCTGTTCCTGCCAGGGAATCCCCCCGCGAGGGCCCCATTCTGTGTGCACCATCCCCCTGCCAGGGGGGCCTCTACGGTGCACACTACCCCAAAGGGGGGGGGAAGCGTTCAAAAAAGGGCCAGCGGCACCACATGACACGCCATCTTTCCAACGCCAGCCGCAACGGCACCGGCACACTCTGATACGAACTTGAATTGATGGTCACGCTTTAACATGGAGGAAACGGGTCCTGATGCAAACGAGTCCTGGACCGAGGGCATTCCCCCAAAGACGAGATGTTCATCCGGAGTCGTTTTCCGCTTCCCCCATGGCGAAACACTGGCTCTCCAAATGATGCACCGGGAGAGCTCAGCCCCCACAGGTCGGAACACCTCCTCGACAGACGACCTCGGGGGCCCCTTGAGCTGCCGCCAGCCCCAGGCACAGACCTCTCGCTGGAGTCGCCGCTCTCCTCAGCAAGAAAACCGATGCCCTGCACGAGTAGCGGGGTGTCTGGCGACCCCCCCAGAATGCACGACGGAGGGAGCATCCATCCTCCATACTGGTGTGTGTCCCCGATCTCCCCTGTTCTGAGCGGCAAGCGTTGGGAAAAGGGAGGGGAAACTCGGAGATTGGCGGAGAAACATCGCCTGCGATTTTCCCTGCTCGGGAAGTTTACCTCCCCCCCCCCTTCCTGGGTCTGGACGGGCTCCCCCACCAGGTGGCAGAGGGTCCTGTTTGCCCCAAGATGGCTCCAAGAGGGCCTCAGAGGCGCAAGATGGCCTCCCAAATGGCCCAACATCGCGGTAGATGGCTCAAGATTGCCTCCGGCACACATCCAAGAGGCCTCGACACGGCCACAAGAAGGTTTCGAGTGCTCTTCGGATCCTCGAAGGACCCCCCAGATGGCCAAAATCCTTCAACAACCTGTTGGAACATCATTGTTGTTCGACTTCTCGTTTTTGTTCGCTTCTGTTGGGCTCTTGTCTCAAAATGGCACCAAAACGGCCCCAGAGAGCCCCAAGAGGGGCCCGAGACGGTTCCAAGACGCCCCAACAGCGCACAAGAGCGCACATGAATGGCCAAAAACGGGCTCAAGAAACCATTTTTGAGCCTCCGAAGGGGGGCGGGGGGGGAATTTAAAACCCCGTCTCTGTTTGAACAGCGGGGCCCAAAACAGCCCCACGAGGCCTCCCAGACCCCCCCAAAGAGCCCAAAGAGGGCACCAAAAAGGCCCCAAAAGGACCCCGAGAGGGCCCCAGCAACACCACCACCACCAGCACGAACACCACAAGCAGCAGCGCCAGCAGCAGCACCAGCGCCAACACCAGCAACAACAGCAACAGCATCAACGGCACGAGCATCGGAAGCAACGCCAGCAGCAACACCAGCAGCAACACCAGCACCAGAGTAATTTCAAAACGCGGGCGAAGTTCTGATACAACTCAACGCAAGAACGATCAAATATGTCCACTGGAATATAATTCTACTCAACGCAGCGCCGGCGTCGGATCGTAGATGCAACAACCTGCGCGCTTCCCACAAAGAACACCATGGCGCATCTTGCACAGCTTGCTTTCCGAAGCTTCGTTGCGCGAAGCTGTTTGTGGTCGCTATTTGGACCCAGGGTACTGCCCACCCAAGTTGGGCCCTCTATAACGGCTGTGCGGCCGCGTGTTTCCAGGCGTCCCTGATTAACTAACTCACCTTGAAATCGTTTCTGGATGGGTTGGTTGGGAATTTTGTTGGTACGCGGGCGCGCGAAGACAAGCCGAACGCCGTGCAAGCTAAAGCGGGCCGCGCAGAAGCTAAGGGGAAAAATGCGAAGCGAGCAGCGCCCGGCTCAGAGCGGAACTGGGCTCAACGCGGCCAAAATGGCGCGGGAGACATCACACATCAACGTCAGAATCACGTCAACCTGGTGAAAATGTTTTGGCACGCGGGCTCGCGAAACAAGCCGCAAGCAGGGCAATGCTAGGGCGGGGCGCGCCGAAGCAACGGAACAACAACGCGAGGAGAGCGGCGCGAGGCTCAGAAGCTGGGCTCAGCGCGGCCAAAATGGCGCGGGATGCATCGCAGACCAGCACCGAGGCGACGCCCACCGATCTGCCAATTAGGACGCAAGCGCTGAGAGAGAGAGAGAGAGAGAAAGAACAAAAAAGAGACAGAGTGATGACGCGCGTGGAAAGTCGGCAGTATACCACCCCAGGACGCACATGTCGAAGACGGTGTCCAAAAAGAGCCAAAACGACCACGCACATGAGAAGTCAGCAACACGTGCTCCCCAGGACGCGCTTGCCGAAAGAGGAGTCCTTGAAGGAGCCGGCAGCCACGAACTCCCAGCAACCATGGGTGGTCTGGGTACGCGAAGCGTCAAGCATTGAAAAAAACTATCCTGTGGTTCATGGCGCGTGGCCTCTCACGGACCAACGATCCCAAACGCAACGCAAACTGCCCGCATCCAACACGATCCAACACGAACGATTGCATGAACTCTTGCGCACATTCTCGAGACTCCCTTTGCAAAGAAACCATTCGCCGGAATATGACAGGGCTCCCTGGCCACCCATCCCCTGCCCCTCTTGACGTTGCTCTGCTAGGGAAACGGACGGCTGGCCGGATGGCAAATCTGATGCCCCTGCGCGTCTGGTGGTGTTTGTTAAGGGCTGGGGTGACGCCCGCTGTGCCCACTGGAACGCGCCCTGGGCCCTGCCAGCGCTCGCAAGGCGGGTCCCTGAACCAACACGTGGGGAAACCAAACAGAAGCGATACCGTTACTCCCTGGACCTCTCACGGCATGCGCTCTGACCAGGATTTCGTGGCGAATCCAGCGGTGGCGACGACGGCCCCCCAGGAACCCCAACAAGGAGAACGGGCGCAGGGTGGCGATGGACATGGAGCCACAGGTGCAGAACAGATGCACGACACCATAAAAAACAGCAAGGACAACATAACAAACAGCAAGGACAACATAAAAAAACAGCGAGGACAACATCCTCTCTGGGAGAGTGCCGGGGCAGGGAGGGAGGCTCTCCCTGCCCCGACCCCCCTCTCGCCATCGCTCGGGCGTCCGTTCTCCGTGCATGTAGCGGCTTCGTGCGCGCACTCTCTCGCAGGACGTCACGAAAAGGCTCCGCGATGGCCCCCGCCGAGAAGCAACGCACACGTCCGAGCGATGCCAAGCCACCCGACCACCAACTCCAAGCGTGGGGGCGGAGGCGGGCCGAAACAATGGCAGCACCAGGTTCAGGCGGTGGCCGGCGCCCAGCCCCAAGTGGGCAGCCCTCGAGCCTCATCTTACTCGCCGTCGCTCGGAGGTCCACCCCCTGTGCATTTCCAGATATCCCGCGCGTAAATATTTGCAAGATGGTTAAAAATGCTCATCCATGGTCCTCGCCGAGAAACAATGCACGCGTGCAAGCGACGCCAAGCTGAAGCATACCGCTCTGAACGGCTGACAGCTCAACATCTCGATCTGGGTCGCCCAACTGCGCGCATCGCGCCGCGTCCTGCGCGACGCGCGGTTATCCTCGCGCCCTCGCGCCGCCTGCCCTGGACCCTCCTGGACAAGGGCACCCTCAAGGCCCAGGCCGCGACGAGCGAAGCGCGATTGTCTTCGCGCCCCCGCGGGCGACCTGGTATATCTGAGGGGCAGCAATGGGGCGGGACTAGCATAAGGAGGGGATGCATCGACCTGGAATCGGCGATACGCCGCCGACGAATCCGCGATAGGCCTCCGATAATCAGCGAAACCGCACCTGCCTGGGCTGGTTGGGGCTGAGCCTCGGGGGTTGGCGGCGATCAATGGGCAGTTGGGGGCAGGTGCATTCCCCCTGTGCCTATTCCCCCCGATCGTTGCCCCTGAAGGCTGCGAAGAGCGAAGCGCGATTGTCTTCGCGCCCCCGCGGGTGAGCTGATATATCAATGCTCGGTAACAACTCATGGGAGCCTCCCGTACCACGTTGTTGTCTCCTCCGAATCGACGCCAATCGACGCTGATCCGACGCTGACCGACGCTAAATCGGCGCCATCTCATCCACTCACAGACGCTAGGCCGACGCTGAAGACGGAATTGAGAGGGTATACCGAACGCGCCGCCGCCCCTAGACATTCGGCGGTGGACAAACCTCCCTTTAGTCAACCACTTAAAAAAACGGCCTGGGACCGAAACCCGCGGACCTGGACCCGCGAACGTGACCGCCGCGACGACCTCTCGCGAACCGAAAACGGCCGATTCGCGGATCGACGTGTCAGGGTGGGAGGCCTGCCCACCCCCGAGACATGGGTACCCTCGAGGCCCAGGCCGCGACGAGCGAAGCGCGATTGCCTTCGCGCCCCCGCGGGCGACCCGGTACCCTCAGTGGCGGGGGGGAGGCGGCCTCCAGCCGCCGGGCCATCGGCAGCGGGCTCTCCGCTCGCCGCTCGCCGAGGAGCGCAGCGAGCGGCGAGGGCGGCGAGTCCAGCCACGGCCCGGCGGGGAGGTGCAGTTCGAAGGTCGTCTTTCTCACGGTATCGCGCTGCATTCGTGGCGCAGTGTGGGACAAATCCAGCCACGCTTTCGAGATTGGTTCACCCGCCGGCCACCGCTAGCAAGCTCTCCGCTCGCGGCGCCGAGCCGAGGGGCGCCGCGAGCGAGCGAGCGAGGGCGGAGAGACCTGCGACGGCCTGGCGGGGAGATGCAGATCTGCACCGATCTGCGCCCTGCCTGTCACTGCGGGAAGTACGGCATGTCCCCGTCGCGATGACGAGACGTGGGCGATGGTGTCCGACAGCGCGTGGACAGCTCGGCGTTGAATGGTCGCCACGTTCCGACAGCCCAAATCGTGCACTCGTGTCCGAGCTCTGGCAACTCGGGGCGGAATTCAACCGTTGGACGGCGCCGTCGAGCCAACGCGTCGCGAACCTTCCGTAAGCCTCGTTCTATAGTAGGGAACCGAACTCTATACGCCGACGCCTTTTCCGGCCCTGCACTGAAACTCGCACAGGAAAGCGGATCCTGGTGTATAAGAGGTGATGGTGTATACATTTTTCGATGTTTCCCTGGGGCATCGCGGAAAACAAGTATACACCACACCACCCCAGCGTCGTCCTCGACCCTCAAGCAGTCCTGGGGAAAAACAGCCCGCCGCAAGTAGTGTACATGTCCCAGTTCCCGATATAGGGCCCGTGTAGAGAATTGAACCTCTGCGCTGAACCTGATACATACGTGTCTATCAGACCATCTGCTGACACCCACGCTACGTAACGAACTCTATCTGGGTTTGTAGGGAGCTAGCATGCAACGTTGACTTGGCAACGTAGGTGGACGTGAGCGACCACACAACGCAGATCACATGAAGAGAAGGCCAGCAATACCATCTGCATCATTCCCCACAGACCCAGGCGTAGAGTATGGCAACCACTTCTCCAACAGCCCAATTCCATATATGAGGCGGGTGGGCCGATTCGATAGATTAGATCGCGCCATACGAGACGGGGATTCAACACCTCCGTGCGAACCGATGCCGTGGAAACCAAGAAGAAATTGATATGATTACAAGTTACCCGGGCCCGAACATGTCCATTGAAGCTGCCTCCTCTCTGTTGCAAGCCACGAAAGCCTCCCATGTCATCTTGTTGGCCTTTGCGAGTCGACGTGAACCGACACTAATCAACGCTTGCCGACGCCGAATCCACGCACAACGACACCAAATCAACGCTCCCTGCTTACCAAACCGTTGCTGCGCGCTGGTGCGCTCTGAAGACGGAATTCCGAAGGAACGCGACGCTCCCGTGAATTGCAACCGAAGCCTCAGGCTGTCGGGGATCATCGATTCCTCGGAGGTTGGATATGTACACATCTCCCCTCGACATAACCTTATGTCGGGCGTTTCCCCTTACAGGCGGACTTGGACGAAACATGACAAAATACAAAAAAAAAATGCTCGAACATAACCTCAAGGAATCATTGAGGACCCCCGCGGGGTTATCATTAGCACAGCACGGTAATTAGATCATTCTGGGGGGCGGTTGTCGCCGAACGATATGATTAACACCGCGCAAATGGAACGAACATAGATAATTCCCGGGCCCCGGCTCGGGTGACATCCCAATTGGAATTGGAATACGAATAAGAATGAGAGCGACATACAAGAAATAAGGATAATAATCCGCTGGCCCCCTTGTGGGGCCACCAGGCTGTAGGAGCGAGGTTCGCAGTTTCCTGTGCCAGTTGTAGCTTGTAGTTTCCAATGTTACAATTCTGCTTCTTGCTGGTTACTGTAACTAGTTGACTTATTGCTGGTTACTGTAACTAGTTGATTGACCGCGCGAGGGGGGGGAGGCCCAAACCGGCTTTTTAGCACCCCCTGGGCGCGTTGTCTGAATTGCTGGGGGAGCTCGAAATCAGCACCCCTCCACAGATCCGCGGGGTCAGGGTCCAAAAACACAAGGGATTTGCCACATTTCTGAAATTCGGTGCCACCCCTCACGCAGATCCGCGGGGTCAGGGTCCAAAAACACAGGGGATTTGCCACATTTCTGAAATTCGGTGCCACCCCTCACGCAGATCCGCGGGGTCAGGGTCCAAAAACACAAGGGATTTGCCACATTTCTGAAATTCGGTGCCACCCCTCACGCAGATCCGCGGGGTCAGGGTCCAAAAACACAAGGGATTTGCCACATTTCTGAAATTCGGTGCCACCCCTCACGCAGATCCGCGGGGTCAGGGTCCAAAAACACAGGGGATTTGCCACATTTCTGAAATTCGGTGCCACCCTTCACGCACATCCATCGCAAGGCGTGGTAACCCAAACTGCGAGAACTCCCTCGGCCCTTTAATCGCAAGGTGTGGTAACCAAGCCCGTAAACCATACACGTCTTACCAATCGCCAGGTGTGGTAACCCCTCTTGTGATCAGTTGGTTTTGCTGATTGCGAATCGGCTTCGCATGAAGTTTCGATCCTGCTTCACGACAGCGCCAAGGCCTCATGACTTGGCTCTTCCATGGCCCATTCTCCGAGAGAGGGGGCCGGCGGCAGGGGGCGAAGCCCTTACGGATAATAGTAATGAGAATAAAACTCAGAATAAAGATACTACGTAACACTAATATGAACCATACTTGAGAACAAGAGTGAACATAATAATAAGCATAAGTTTTGTTTTTGTTTCTCGTTATCTTCCTCATCATTGTCCTATGCGATTTTCATTACCCCCATGTTGAAAAATTGTTGTTTGCCGGCAGTCGTGTGGGGCATTGCATTCGAAAATGTCGCCCCCGCCATGCACGGCGCGTTGTCTTAGCACCGTACCCGTACAAAATAATTACGACAGCTTGCCCACAAAGACAACAAGTACAGTAAGACCAAGGATAATAATGATAATGCAAATAAGCAAAAGACTAAGAATAATACAAATTATACGAATGAGAATAAGAGTGATGACAATAGTAACAAAAAAACAGTTGACAGGCGGGCTCCCCTGCTTCTTCCCATGTTCTGCATCAACCTTGTCCTATATGATTATTATTACCACCCCTATTGAACAAATGTTTTGTCCCGGCCGTCGGGTGGGGTAGTGCATCCGAGGATACCGCCCTAGCCACGCACGGCGCGTTATCTTACCACCCGCGCCGCCAAAATTATCCGCCCCCCAGCGCAGGCGCGGACGATTCCTTTTCAAAACTGGGCTCTCCCTTGCGTGGGACTCAATGTTAGTATTTTTGTTGTTGGCGGTGTTGCTGGTGTTTTTGATTTTGATGTTGTTGTTGGTGCTGCTGTTATTGGCCTTGGTGTTCTAGATCTACTTCTTATTGCTGGTATCATTGTCGCTGTTCGTGCTGGTGCGGGTTGGCGGTTTGCTTGTTTCGGCGAGCAGACTCGTCTGCGTTCACATAGAGGTGCGAGGTGCCAGGATAATGCTTCTGGGGTGCCGTGCGTTATACCTTCGCCAGAGGGGGGGGGTTCTGAATTGCTTCATGAGGTTAGTCCAGGATGATAGAAAAATCGTCCCCAGACTATTCTTGAACAATGTTCTCGAATATCCCTCCTGCAGAGGGACGTGCCCGACTTAAACATAACCGTTTGCGCACCTTCTTCGGGAGCCCTGAGACGGGGGTCAATGCAAACGGACGTCAGCCAGAGCGCCGGATCTTGCAAGATCCTGCAGGGCCAGGGTCGCACCGACCCGGGCCCGGGTGCAGGACCCTGCAGCATCTTGCAGGATCCTGCCGCGCTGACCGGGGCTTCGGGTGCAGGACCTTGCTGGCTTCTGCCAGGCCTGACTGACCTGGGTCTGGATTGACCCGGGCCAGAAGATTGAAGGGGAACTGGGACACACAAATAAATACACACAAATAAAAATATCCCCTATATTTTCCAATATTTTCTGGGTTTTTGTCTTCCCCCCCACTTCCCATATTTTCCTATATTTTCCTGGGAGTCGACGATTAATTGTGTCTGTGTGTTTCTTTCCCTCCTGAAAGATCCCCGACTGACCTGCTGACCACGGCCCACCGGCCCGGGCCGCTCTCCCGAGCCCGCGGGCGCTCGGGGCCGGCCGGCGCCCGGTGGGCCAGCGGGGGAGCTGCTTGTAGAGCGTCGCCTCCTTGCAGGCGACAGGGACGGGCGACGCCAGCACCGCCAGGGCGAGGAGACGCGAGGAGGCAAGCGGGGTCTCCCTGGTGATGTGGTCCCCCCCCCCTTGCTCGAGACATCCCTGGCCTCCCGCTCGGGGAGGCATCGCGGACCTCCTCGCTGGAGGTGGGCCCCCTGGTGGTGTTGGTGTCGCTTCTCCTCCCTCCGATCCTTGGACTCCCGGACCTCCTCGACCTTGTCGTCCTGGCCGAGCTGGCCGCAGGGCTTCAGTTGGCGGCGCGCAAGGGGGCGTCCGAGAGGGGGTGGTGCATACCACGGCCGGCGGTACGTGCGCGGCCCAGGGGGGGGGGCCAGGGACGCATTGAAATGAGAAGAGGCGCCAGGACATCTTGGGAGAGATCAAAGCCCCGCCATGATGTCCCCCCCACCCCCTTCTTGGCGGCGCGCAGAGGGAGGTAGGGGAAGGGGGGACGACTTCTTAGAAGGCGCCGGCAATACATCTACAGATGAGGCACGCGCCTTCTGAGAAACAGGTGTGCTTCTAAGAAGCGCTCCCCCTCCCCCCACCCCCCTCTGCGCGTGGCCGATTAAGACTGGAGCGATGAGGGCAACTGTCGCTGCGGGGTGTGACCTGTTACGCGACGGAAATAACGCACGATCGCATCCACGCGCGACTATGGCGTTCAAGCCCGCAAGCTATTGCATCCATGCAAACTGCGCCCCCACCCCCACCCCTCCGTGCTACCGCCACTACTCCGGCTTCGAAAGGCTCCCTCCTCCACAAGCGGCGAGCGCATCCATATTCGCGCCGTCGCGGTCTGGACTCCGGGGCGCGATCCCGCGGTCACGCGGTCGCACGACTACGTTTTGAGCAGGGACCGACCGTCCCGGCATTCCTATAGTCCTACCACGGAATGTTCTTAAAACCCAGAAATGCCCTAAGAACAAAAACAACGTTCTTATAACATAAACCCGATGTCATAAAACAAGACAGTCTCCGCCAAAAATGTTCCAACAACATCCCGTGGGAACCACAAAAGGTTCTTAGAACATTGGTAGAGCTGTAGGCGAGCCAGCACGCTTCGCCACTGCTCGAACGTTTCGCACGGGGCATCCACGAACAAAACGCCCCGCATCGGCAGGGTCTCGGCCCAGGGGCCCGGCCCGCGAGGCCGTGGTAATACTGACTACCTACCAGACCACCCCAACCCAACCCGAAGACCCCGATTTCGGGTTGGGGGGGGTAAGGGTTCCACATGTGTTTTTTCGATGTTTCCCGAACCCCCCCCCACTGGAAATCGAGGGTAAATCTGAGCCTTCGGGTTGGGTTGGGGTGATTTGGTGGGTGGTGAAATACAGGCACGTCTTGCGCCCACGCCTCCTGCTCGTCCGCCCCCCTGCACCCCGAGGAGCGGGGTCGAGGCGCCGCAGGCCAGCGGCGGCCCGTGGGGGCGCCCGACAAAACTGCAGCTCCCGGCCCTCGCTCGGGCGCCCCCTCCCCGTGCCTGCCCCGCCTTCGCGCGCGCACGTGCCGGAAAAGGTGATCGAAGAGGATCCTCGCTGGCCCTCGCCGGGAGAAACAACTGCTCCCTCGAGCGTCCCACCCTCCACGGGGGGAAGGGACAGTCGTCCCCGTCCCGAAAAAAAACAGCCGTCGGGAATCAGGAGACCGGCCACCCCCGCCGACGTCGCCATCCCGCGGATCACCCCTCGGCGAGCGCGGGCGCGCAGCAGGCGATGGAGGGCAAGCTGCGAGCGCCGAGCGTGTGGCACTAAACAGGCAGGTGAAACAACAAGCGCTGAGCAACAACCCAGGAGGGGGGGGAGACAAGGAGGAGACGGCCAAGAGAAAATAAGCACACACACATTTCCGAGCGATGCCAAATCGGGCGTTGGCAGCAGAACGGGGTTCAATGGGACCTCGTCTAGTGATGTGTACTAGGGGACGTCCCCCCGCCCCGTTCCACTAACCGGAACTGCCGCCACCCGAAAAAAACTCCGGCTACGGCAGACCTGGCTTAGCGATCCCGGCCAATTTGGAGGCTCCAGGGCCCTGCTACGAAAAGGGTCCCCTTACCTTCGGGGTCGGCCAAGAGGAGGTCGGTCAAGAGGGGGGCGTCCAAGAGGGGGGGGGTGCAAATCATGGCCGGCGGCATGTGCGCGGCCCAGGGGGGGGGCAGGGACGTACTGAAATAAGAAGAGGCGCCATGAGATCTGAGGAAATATCATGGCCCACGCCATGATATCCACTCCCCCCTAGTCATCACCCCCCTCTTTGCCGCCCCCGACTTACCTGGGGTGCTGGCTATATCCGACTGGGGTTGGGGCAAGGGGAGCACGGGCCACGGGCAGCCGAGTCGATCCTGCGAGCTCCATCCCGCACACGAGGGGCTAGGAGCCACAGGGCCAGGAGCCACAGAACCACCCGGGGAGCCGCTGCTCAGCCACGCGCGGAGGGGGGTAGAGGGGGGAAAGGCTTCCTAGAAGCACCATCCCTTCTCAGAAGGCGTGAGCGCCCCTTCTGAGAAGCCTGCTGCTGCTTCTGAGAAGCTGCTCCTGGCGTGCTGCTCAGAAGCAGGTGGCTTGGGGAAATCACAAGGTACCGATACCGCTACTCCCCGGACCTCTCCTGGGGTGCGTTCTGACTCGAATCTCGAGGCGAACCCAGCGGTGGCGACGACGGCCTCCCAGGAGGCCCCCCAAAAGGGGAAACGAGGGAAAAGTAGAGATATGGGTACCTTTTCCTCCTCGGGTGGCTTGCTCGGAGGCGGGCCCTGGGGCTGTCTCGGCCTCTCCGGCACGACGCGGCGGCCGCTCCGCGCAGCTCCGCCCCACGAGGGGCGCAGCGCGCGCTCGGGGGGACCGCGAGCTCCGCGGCGGGTCTGCCGCGCCGCGCTCTGCCCGCGGCCCCCTCCCGCCCGAAGAAGACCCCCCCGAATGGGCAAGCATAGCTGTTTTGCAACCCACCCCAGTTGAAGTGTTCCGGCCGACGTGCGTCGGAGTTCTGCGGGGCTCCCGGCGGCCTCGGGGGGTCCCAGGGGGCTCTCGGAGGCACCAAAGTGGGCAGAGAGAGGCGAAGCATCGCCCCCGGATGATTTTTTTTTACTGTTCTTGAACACTCCTCCTGTCGAGGGGCAGGCCCGACTTACAGCCAGAGGCCTCCTGGGTGGTGTCCGAGCAAATATGGTGAGGGGATCGTGCCGCATCGCCAACGCATCGGTGATGCATCGACGATGCATCGCCGACGTCGGCAACGCGTCGGCGACGCATCGGCGACGTCGGCGTGGAGAAAACCGGGCTCCGGGTCGAGCCGCATCGTCGATGCATCGGCGACGCGGCGCGATTCTCCGACTCCCCCTACTCCGACCCCATATGAGATGCCTAGAGATTGGCCCGATCTGAAGACCAGCGCCGCGGCAGCCTCTGAACTCTCCCATTCGTGGCACGCACTTCTCCGAATCTGGTGCTGACGTGGCAGGGGCGTGAGCAAGGTCACCCACCTCGCAGGCCTGCGCCTTCTGCCTCCTCCTCCTCCCCAGCCTGGCCAGCGCACTTTCTCATTGCCGTCCAGCGAATCCCAGCGGCACAGGAGGATACAGAGGAGGAGGAGCCCTGAGGGACAAACGCATCCCCTGGAGAGAGGCGAGAACTGATTCGGATTGGTTCGTCCAGCGGGTCAAGGCGGGTCTGCAGCCGGCGGCGAGCCGCCGCGCGCCCATCGGCGTCGCTGCCGCCGTCGCGCGTGGCCAACGCACACCCAGCTCCACCCGCCGCCCCCCCCGACCGAGACCACGGGTTCCGATGGAGCGGGCGACCTGCCCGCCTTATGATACGATACGGCCCGTGTTTTTCCGTGCTCGTTTTGCCGTTGTTGTTCCCAGCTGGGCGCCGTTGTTTGTCGGATGCCATCGCCGATTTTGTTCCGGCTCTGGCTGCGGCTTCAATACTGAAACATTTGTTGATCGGCTTCGGAAAGCCATCTGTTGTATTACCGTATTCGTTATCAAGATCAAGATTCTGGAATAATCTGGAAAACCCTGCCATCTCCAGGTGCCACCAAGACACGGGGTGCAGCGAGAACAAAACGTCGGCTGCGACGCAGAAACAAATACCAATACGGTAGTTTCGCGCGGTCCGGGCGCGCGCATTTTTGTTTGCACCGCATCGATAGTTCAACTTTGAACTGATCGCGACCTCGACCGTTCAAGGTTGAATCCCGTCGGCTTTCATGGCGTTACCGTGTCCTTCAGTACTTCCGCCTTGCTCTATCGTGCAGGATCCAACATGGAACGCCTTCGCCGGCGTCGCCGGCACACCTTCCCCGCGTGAACTTCCCGTGCTAATGCTAGGCGCCGACCATTGGATGCGCACGTCGGGACCAAACACACAGCACACAACAAAATCGTAGCAGAGCGGAAGCGCAGGCGGACCGCGTGACGGCCCCGCGTGACGGCCCCGCCCCTGTCCTTGCCCAGTCATGCGACGTCCGGATTGCCGGGGTCCCCGGGAGTGCCTGTCTGCCTGTATGTATGTACGTATGTATGTGTGTATGCATGTGATTATGAGTGTATGTGTGTGGATGTATGTATACATGTATGCATGTATGTAGGCGTATATGTATATGTCTGCAGACTGTCTTCTCAGCCCAGGCCGACTTTGACGGTCCCCCGGCCCAGCGAGGGTGCCCGAGGCCTGAACATAGCAACGACCCTCTCGCCCTGACTGCTCGTTACGCCGCGATCAGGTCCGGGTCCCCGCCCCTGCCCCCTGCCCTCGCGTCGGGCATGTCCCTCTACAGGAGGGATGCCCACAGATAGTTTGAAAACAGCCTGGGGACGATGCTTCTGCTGCTTTCGACTCTGCTTGTAGTGTTGTGTGGACTGCGTCCCACTCTTCTCCGACTGCCACACGTAGGAGGACATGTCCGACACAACCCTGACTTGTAAGCCCCGGGGGGGTCTGCATCTTTGCGGCGAACATGGGGGCCCTGGCAGTCCGGGCGAGGCAGCTTGAAGGCCGATTTTTGGCGAACTTTCGCGGCCGGGAGGATGGCCGAGGTTTGGAACGGGGAGGATGGCCGAGGTGCGGGGCCGGGAGGATTGCCGAGCTGGTAACCTGCAATAAGGTGCGCGACCGTCCCAGCCCCCCCGGTACTTGCAAACCCTGACCCTCTCCCGTCGCCGCCCGAGGGGGGGCAACACGGGGCACCTTTGCCGCTGCCCCATGGGCCCGCCTGCAGTGGGGGGGCACGAGCTGGCCCCGAGCACGCCGAAGCGAGTCCAGCCGTGGCGGCTAACAGGGGATGCGTCGACCCCTATCCCAGGCTCCGTGAGGTTTTCGAGAGGATCAACAATTTGGGGCCCAACCCTGGGATATACGAGGGGGGGGCGTCCATCCTCGACAGTGCGTCCGAATAGCCCCCTCGGGATGTATCCCAAGATTCCTCCCCTTTTCTGAGCGACCAAACTTTTCTGGCGGAAGTCGGGGATTGGGGGAGAGAAATCGCCTGCGAGCGGCGAGGGCCCTCCCCAGGAGACCCCACGAGGGCGAGACCGAGTGAAGGGCATACAGTCGGACCTGTAGGACCCGGCCTTGCATATCCGATGCATTGTTGTTCTGGCCCTGCACTGGCATTTGAACAGGAAGTCGGATCCTGGTGCAGAGACGGGGCCCTGGTGTGTATACATTCTTCGGCGCTTCCCCCGGAGAACGGGGCACCACACCACCCCGACGTCGTCGCCGACCGTCAACGAGTCCTGGGATTGAAAAACAGCCGCCACTAGTAATGCATATGTTCAAGTTTCCGACCCCCCCCTCGGCCCATCCTTGACCGCTTCCGCTGGCCGCGCCCCGCTCTCGAAGTGTCGACATGCCCTTTCAGGGCCCTTGCATCCTTATCGTGGGGAAACCAAAAAGTACGGATACCGCAACTCCGCGGACATTTCAGGGCGCGCTCTTACCTGGATTTCGAGGCGAACCCAGCGGTGGTAGACACGACGCGAACCTACCGTATCGATATCGGTACGTTTCTCTGCGCCCCTCCAAGAACATGAGACCCTCCGCCGGCCAAAACATAGATAACATGCAAAGGTAGCCTCCCCAGGATGCACGAGAGCATCCAACTAACACGCAGAGCATCAAGGTACCCTCCCCGAGCCGACATCGATCTTAAACCCCAGTCCGACTGTATCGATATAGGACCATGTTCTTAGGTGCTGTGCCGACGCACCCCATCTTCCCCCCCCAGGGCTCGTTGGCGCTGGGGGGATTGTTCAAACTAAACCAGGCGGCCCCTCCTCCTCTTAACTAACACGAAGAGCTTAGTTAGTTGGATGCGCAAGAGCATCCAACCAACACGAAGAACATCAGGGCAACCTCCCCGAGCCGACCTTCTCGTCGGTCCGATATTTCTCTGCTCCCCGCCTTCCTTCCCTCCCCTCCCTTGCGGCTGCTGCAGCACAAGCCGCGCGACGACGCCAGAGGGCCACGGCCGGCGGCGCCGATGGCGCAGTCCTCCGCGGCGCCGACGGCGTGCTCGAAGATCGTGTCGGAGGATCCCACGGAGGCTTCTGCGGGGCGCCCCCGCGCTCACACCAGTAGCCGTCAGGCAAACGAGGGAGGGATGGGGTATCTAAACAGTGGCATATCGTCGACAGACTCAACGGAGAACCCAAATCGCTCCCCGCCGATGTCACGGACACCTGCACGCGCACCGAACCCACCATCACGTTCACCGGCGTGTCGACCAGTTCAATCGCATCACATAACTTAGGTTGTAGGCTGTACAGAGATGTCCCCGAACACAATCGAGTGACACCCTTTATCTGCGCCCATGGAAGTAAGTGTTTAATCGCTTCCTTGCTCTTACTTGGCAGCGATGCGGCGTAAGACAACTCCATCCACGCAACCGAAAACACGGAGGTCATTCTGTCAGAGAAGAACTACTTGTGATCTGCATACCGCAACGAGGGAACGAAGCCCCCGTTTGGCACCAGAAAGGCTTGGGTGCACGAGCATGCTAGAGGAGCCACCACGGAATGATCCCAGGAAAAGCGAGCCCTTTCCGAACCCAAATCGATCCTTATCTCAACATCTAGACTGTACATCGGATCGGGCCACGGACATCCTGAAAGAGCAGGCGATACTTGGCACTCAGACACGCTGCCACGGCTCTGCCTGGCCCACCCGACACTATGCCTTGCTGACTCTCACTTCTGAGTGCCAGAACTTTGGAGACATGCTGCATCTTCCGAAACTCATCGCAGACTTGTCTGGATGGTGTTCTGCACTTGCGGAAGACCAGTGACAGCGCAGGAGTGTGCTTAACCACTGTCGAGGGCGCGCGTCCTCACTGCAAAGAAGCTCGCCGACACCCTCGATGTCTGGAGGCGTGTGAAGGAGGGTACTGCCCCTCCCTCCCTGAAACCACCTCCCCAGGGAAGAGCTTCCACGTTTGCAGGGGCGGGTTGCGCTTCCTCACGGCATGAGATTCGACATAGTGATTGAAGCCTCTAGATACGCGTCGGAGGCGGACAGTCCCAAGGAAGGTGACAACACAATTGTCAAAGATGTGCTTCTGAGCTTTCAACATCCCCGGCCTACGAGGGTCCGCCCAACATAGCTCCAGAAGAGCCCGAAGAACCTCGAAGCAGCTCCCGAACGGCCTGGACAGAGACCCGCATAGATGAGAGGCCCCCACACACATACAAGGCGCCCAGAGGCTCCGAAGAGATGCCCATCATGCCCCATGACGGTAATGTGAGACCACGAACTGTGCAAAACACCTTGGGCAAAGAAACACAAACTACTGACGCACAAGATCCTGTGGAGGAGGCTGGCGCCGGCTGGGGGTTACAATACCGAGGGTGGAAGGATGATACACCCAGAGCGACAAGAAGGCCCTGGCGCGCAAAACGACGCGACAGGCTGAGCTGGAGGCGCCGCTAGGGGGGGGCCCAACGCCGATCCAAGATATCCGCGCGGACCACCGACAATTTGGATTAAAGAAGTTGTTCCATGTAGGTCAACGGAAGTACTTCTAGGTCGGGCGTGTCCTCCTACAGGAGGATTTTGAGCGGAAAAAAAATTGAACACAAAAATCGGAAATTGTCAAAAATGGTCACTAAATCGTGCCCTGACTATTTTTGCCTATTTTGAACACTCTTCCTGTAGAGGGGTATGCCCGACTCAACAGCACTTGGCGGCAAGCCCGGGGGGAAGTTAGAAGGGGGCACACCTTCTCTCAAAGGCGGCAGGGCTTCTCAGACCCCCCCCCCGCCTTCTGCGAAGCCGTTTGGATCGTCGGGGCAGGCCTACGAAACTTCTCAGAATAAAGGGGTTCGAGGACACACAAATAAATACGCACAAATCCCAAGATTTCCCCACATGTTTCAATATTTTCTGGGTTTTCGTCTTCCCCCCCACTTCCCATATTTTCCGATATTTTCCTGGGAGTCGACGATTAAATGTCTGTGTGCTTCTTTCCCTCCTGACAGAAGGCGGGAGGCCTTCCGAAGCTTCGGAGAACTGCCCCCGTCCGATAGGACGAAGCAAGAGGAAAGGTCACATCCGGCAAGGATGGATCGGGGACCTCTGAGGCCCGGCCGTTCTGGAGGATGTGTCGGGCACAGCGGCCTTCTCAGAGCGTTCCAGAACGCTCCGAGAGCGTCCCGGACCGCTCCGGAGCGGACTTCTTCGAGCCCCATGGGCCCGCCCGATCTGCCCTTCCCCCCCCCCCTAGGCTCGCCGCTGGAACTGCTGTCTCTTCCCGCTTCGAGGCCGGCGACCTCACAACTCCAGCGCGCAGCGGGAGGTGCGCAGCGCTGCTCGACGGGGGCCCGCCCCGCGGCGCCGCCACCTCCTCCTCCTCCTCCTCCTCCTCCTCGTCCTCCTCCTCCTCCTCCTCCTCCTCGTCCTCCTCCTCCTCCTCCTCCTCCTCCTCCTCGTCCTCCTCGTGGGGGGTCCACGTCGTGGGCGTGGGCAGAGGGCCCTCGGCCTGAGCGCACTGAGGACAGCGTCGCGCGCGCGGGCTTTTCTTGGCTTGGGACTTTGCCAGGGATCCATCCGCAGACGCCCTTAAAGATGCTGCCCGAGGGAGCGGCAGACGGCGTGTCTCGCGAGCAACGCACATCTCTGCATCTCGGCGGCGAGCCGGGGGGAAGTGAGAGGGGGCGGGCATTCTCCGAAGTCCCGAAGTCCCCCGGCCTTCTGAAACGTTTGCCAAGCCTTCCCCGAAGACACAGAACACTTGTCAGAAGGCGCATGAGCATCTGAGAAGCCACGCCGCCTTCTGACAAGGCCTTCTCCTTCTCAATTGTCCCTCTCGCTCGCCGCCGAATATCCGCGCCCTCGAGGTCTGGATTCTGGGGCGCGATGCCGCGCATATTTTGTCGACCGGATGCGTTCTGCGCGGGGCTACCGCGAAAAAGCGCCACGTTGCGTACTCCGTGTCCGACGGGTCGCGGCCCAGGGGCCCCGCCCGCAAGGCCGCGCATACGGATATGTTTCCGCCCACGAGAGTGAGATGCAGCGATGAACACTGACTAAGAGACTGCGGAAGCCAACTCGACCCACCGCGCCCCGCGATGCGTCACGCGCGGCTGCCTCCTCAGCCAAATGTCATCCGCTTGTAACTCTGACGCTTGCAAGCTTCCGAACTCTCGCCAACCTAGAAGTTTGGTTCCCTGGCGAGCACCCTAGATTAACGTACGGGCGCTTTCCCGCCTGCAGTTTCTGCAAGCCCATCACATGCGTTTCCCGATTGAAGTTTCACTCACAACAAAACATGCCCATAGATGAGTTCATTCGGTTATCATTCGGGGCGTCTGGCCGACTGGGCAGTAACGTACGCAGTAAACGATGGAACAAGCTGCTGCAAACAAATGCTAGACATAGCCACCAAATATTGGATGCCTCCCTCATCGTCGTCGTCCCCCTCCGTCTTCGACGTCCTCCTCAACCTAATTTTCCGCGTCTTCCTCGCACGACCATCCGCGCGCTTCCTGGTCTCGTCTGCCGATTCCTTCTGCGGCTCAAGGTCTGATTCGACACCCGACTGGGTGAACAGAAAGGGACCCAACGCCAGTGAAAGGGATGGACGGGAGGAGTAGCTTCAGATGTGGCGAAGGCGCGCATGGCTTGACCCATCACCCCTTTCACTGCTCGAAGCTGCTTGATGAACACACACGCCCCATGCCGCCTCGCCCGACGTCCCGGTCTGGCCCTCCCCCACGCGCACAGAACACAAACCCTGATGCCCCCATGCGATCTCCACGAACGTGGCTCAAGGGCATTGAGCCCCTTCGCCCAATGCGTGGGCCCAGCCCCGAAGTACACTCCAAGAAGCAGGGCCCGAGCAAGAAAAGCATATCATGGGCGTCCCCTCCAAACCCGAGACTGCCGCCAGCCCCCGTGCCCCGAACAAGTCGGGGTGCCCCCCTCTCCCACTGGGCTGCCGCAACAAAACGCCTGTGGATGCCTTGCCGCCCCCAGGACTCCGACGCCGTGATTTCTTGGCACCGTCGACTCGTCAGAGGTCTGGACCCCTTCCTTGGGGGCCGATTCTTCATCACAAGTCTTCGAGGGGCAACAATAGGGGGTGACTGGCCTAAGGCGGGACACAACGACCCGGAATCGCCGACACATCGCCGATTGATCGGTGATGGTGCCCGACAGTGAGTCCGAGCGATCCTGGGCACGTTGGGGCTATCGGGCCCCATGTCGGCGATCAATTGGCCATTGGCGGTCGATGCACCCCCCCTACAGTGCGAGCGAGGCCGCAAAAAACCCTCGCAAGAAACCCAACCCTGAAAACCCGCGCGCGAAGTGCACCGGAGGGGAAACCTGGAGCACTCTGAACGCAGCAGCTCCTTCAACGGCCGCGGGAAGTCGCCGCGCAGCGCGCGGAGAGAAGAAACCCAGGATATCCAGACGAAAAGCATGTGGTCTTGATGCGGGCCCCCACTGTATGCCTATCACCCCCGTATCGTTGCCCCTGAGTGCTTTTGTTAACGTTCCGGAGCCCAGTGAGGGCCCCCCGAAGCCGGCGAAGAGCCGTCCACAGTCAACTTCTCGCAGCGCAGGCCGTGCCGCGGAGGGCGCCCGCGCGGCGCGAGCGCGGGGGGCGGGTCGGGTCGAGCAAAGAGGGGGGGGATAGCAACGGGAGGGTCAGCGGATCCGCCCACGGTAAGACGAAGCCAGGACGAGGACGAATTCAGGTGAGGATGCAGCAGGTTTGTGTCGTTCCGACGGTGGCGTTGGTTTCTGACAACGCGGGAAGCGTTCAACCTTGAGGGATCGGCCGTTCCTGAGACTTCGGATCTTTAAACGTCGACCGAGTCTGGGTCGCAGGCGACATTCAACATCGAATGCCGGCGGCAAGGTCGCTGCGGTCGACGCGACGGGAAACTACCGCACGTGGAGAGAATATCTGAGCTCTGGCGGCTCTGGAGGATGCATGGGATGGGGCGTCGCAGCCTTCCTAGAGCGTTCTGGGACGCTCTGGAACGGATTCATCCTCGTCCTACAGTCGGCCCGCATCATAAGGATGCGCGATAAGGATGCAAGGGCCTTGGAAGGACATTTCGAAGCCTCTCGAGCGGGGTGCGGCCAACGAAAGTGGTCGAGGATGGACCGAGGAGGCACGGATACCATGGTACCCTTGGGAAGGGTGCCCGCCCCTACTATGCGGGTTGACTTGGGCGCGTTTTGCTGCAGCAGTTCGGGCAGTTCTTGCTCAGCTTTTCTATGATGTTTTCCTGCGCTACGTGGACGATCTGTTTGGATCGGACGCTTCGTTGCCGGGGGCGCCTTTCTTCGCAACCTCCGCTGGTGCCACAGAGGTGACGCGAGAGGTCGTGACCGTGCTGCTTGGCTGGGAGCTTGACGTCGCCCAGCGCGTGTCCGATGCTCCGGCACCAGGCCGGCAGACGGCACGGGGAGCGGACGCCCGAGCGAGTGCGCGCCTTCGGGTCGGACGTGTCACGACGGGGGGATGCCCCGCCCCGCCCCGCCCCTCGGGGGGGAGGACGGGTCGGGGGCGTGCAGTCAAGACGCTGAAGCAAATGTACGGCTCTGGGCTCGGGGGCGGGGGGGAGATGGGCTTGCGGGCCGGTCCGTCGACTTGCGTCGTGGATCCTGGCTTGTGGCCTCGGCCCGCCGTGGCCAGAGCAGTCTCCGCGTCTCTTCTCACCGAAGGATTGCAAAAAAACGAAGGATTGCAAAAAAACCCAGGATTGCAACAAAACCTTTTTGCAATCCTTCGTTGCAATCCTGGGTTTTTTTGTGCAATCCTTAGTTTTTTTGCAATCCTTCGCTCCTGGTGGTGGCGCGATGGCCGTGTTCCGTGGCATCTTCGGGGGGCTCCTCCTGTCCCAGTGAAGGGTGCTTCCCCTTGTGCCCGACGCGGCTTTGGCGTGGAGTCGACGCGGATCCGACGCGGGGTCGCGAGGATGGGGGCGCAGAGGGACGGACGCGGCCTCCCGAAGATGCGAAATAGGGGGTAGGGAAGGGGTAGGGGGGGGGCTACGAAACTTGCTGGTTGCAGCTGGCAACCGCCCCGCCGCTGGGCACTCCTCTTAAGTCGGGCACGTCCCTCTACAGGGGGAATCTTCAAACATAGTCAGTACATAATGTGGGGACGATTTTTTCTCGTCCTTGACCTGGGATCGGCGATATACAGCGCCGATAGATCGGCGATAGGCCTCCGATGGCGAATCCGCACCTCCCTGGACAGGTTGGGACTATCAGGCCCGCATCGGCGAACAATGGTCGATTGCGGGTCGATGCGTCCCCATCTATGCCTACCCCCCTATCGTTGCCCCTTGATCGAGGGATGCTCCTCGATGGTCTTCGCCGGGGGGAACACGCACACGTCCGAGAGATGCCAGGAAGGGGGGCGGGGCGGGGCACCGCTGGGTCGCCGCTGCGGCCGGGACGTCTCCTCGTCTCGCTGCGGGACGCCGAGCGGCGGCTCGCCCTCTCGCTCGCCGTCCTCCATCTGCGCCCGCTGCGCTCGGGCGCGGAGGTGGGAGGGGAAGGGAAGGGGAGGGAGGGGAGGGAGCGGAAGGTGTCGAGTATCAGCCATCCAGCGAGGGCGTTAGGGAAGGGAGGGCAGGGCGAGAGGGGCGCGAGAGGGGGGGGAGGGGAGGGGACGGGGGGGGGCGGTAGGGGAGGCGGTGGCCTCCTGTGTGTCCTCTCGTCGGTTCCTCGCCTGGGTTTCCCGTCGGTTCTTGAAAGTCACTCTGCGTCTGGCAATCAGCGTGGGGGGGTCGCCACCCCCGCCGAAATCCCACAGCCGACCCCCGTCGCGGACCGCTACCGCGCGCAAGCGGCGCTCCAACCCGTTTCCTGGTGCGCCGACGTGGCGATGTTGATCCCCGTCGGGGGGGGGACCCTGGGACACCCCCCCTACGCTCACTACGAAACGCAGAGTCAATGTCCCTCGGTGCGTGGTTGAAGTGGGCTTCCGCGGGTTGATTGTTGATGTTGTTGCTGCTGCTGCTGTGGCTGTTGTCTTTGCTGCTGCTGCTGCTGCTGCTGCTGCTGCTGCTGCTGCTGCTGCTGCTGCTGCTATTCGTGTTGCTGACGTTGCTGTTTCTGATTTTCCATAGGTTTTTGAAGGATTTTGGAATGTGCATCTTCTCCGGATTTTGGAATTTGCATCTTCTCGGCCTTCCGACGGCCCCAGGCGGCCAAAGAGGCTCCCAAGATCGCCCCAAGATCGCCCAAGAGGCCTCCAAGAGGGCTCCATGACGGCCCAAGGGGCCTCCAAGACGGTCCCAAGAAGGCCCCAAGACGGCCCAAGAGGCCTCCAACACGCCCAAGATGGCCTCCAAGACGCCCAAGATGGCCTCCAAGACGGCCCCGAAGCGCCCCAAGAGGGCCCCAAGTCGGCCCAGAAAGGCACCCAAGACGACTCAGACGGCGTCAGACATGCCAGGAACCCAACAAGATGGCCGAAGTTGGCTCGAAGCTGGCCCAAGACGGCCCAAGAGGCCCCCAAGAGGGCGTCCAGGAAGGCCATAAGAGGCCAAAAACCAAATGTTCCTAGGGTTTTTGACGGATGTTGGCATTTGCTTCTTTTCGGCCTTCCGACGGCCCGGGACGGCCCAAGAGCTCCCAAAGATCGCCGACAGATCGCACAAGAGGCCTCCAAGATGGCCCCAGAACGGCCCAAGAGGGCCCCAAGACGGCCCCAAGAGGCCTCCAAGACGGCACAGGAGGCCTTTAAGGCGCCCAAGATGGCCTCCAAGACGGCCCTGGAGCATTCCAAGAGCCCTCCAAGACGTCCTCCAAGAAGGCCCGAAAGGGTCAAAATGGCCTCCAGACGATCAAGATGACCTTCAAGATGCCCATGTGTTCCCCGAAGGCTTTCCAAACCGATTCGGGGAACACATGGTCCGATAGCTTGGCAGGTCTGGCCTCAACGTTCGGCCACATAGGCGCTTCCAAAAAGGCAGGGGGCGGCGGTGATTCGCCGTAGGCGTCTTCGATCCGCCGCCCCCTGTTGCTTGCAACAGGGGTGCCTGGCGTGCTAGATGATTTCGGTTTTGGTGTTGGTTCTTTTCCAAGAGAACTCCCCCTGTGGCTTGGGCCCGTCCTGCCGGGGTCGCGGGACGATCTTCAAGGAACTCAATTCCCGGAAAAAGATCCTCCAAGACGGCTCAAGATGGCCTCCAAGATGGCCACGTTAGCCCAAGATGGCCTCCAAGATGGTCCCAAATGGCCTCCAAGTCCGCCGAAGATGGTCCAAGACGGCCTCCAAGACGGCCTAAGAGAGTCCAAGATAACCCGAAGTTCCCCCAAGAAGCCTCCAAGACGCCTCCAAGACGGCCCAAGAGGCCTCCAAGAGGTTCTCCAGGAGGGCCCGAAAAGGCCAAAATCATTGATTGTCCTTAGGTTTTTGAAGGATTTTGGAATTTGCATCTTCTCGGCCTTCCGACGGATCAAGACGGCCCAAGAGGCCTCCAAGATAGCCCCATAACGGCCCAAGAGGCCCCCGAGACGGCCGCAAGGGGCCCCCATAAGACGCCCAAGATGGCCTCCACGACGGCCCTGGATCATTCCAAGAGGGCCCGAAGTCGGCTCAGAGAGGCCCCAGAACGGCCCAAGGGGCCCCCCAGACGGCCCCAAGAGGCCCCCAAAACGGCCCAGGATGCTTTTAAGACGCCCAAGATGGCCTCCAAGACGGCCCTGGAGCATTCCAAGAGGGCCCGAAGTCGGCTCAGAGAGGCCCCCCAAACGGCTGCCGACGGCGTCGGACGGGGCAGGCCCACCAAGACGGCCGAGGATGGCACTAAAAGGGCCCAATACGGCCCATGGGGCCTCCAAGAGGGCCCCCAGAAAATCCCGGAAAATGCCAAAACCATTGATGTTGTCCCATGAGTTTTTGAAGGATTGTGGCATTTGCTTTTTTGTCGGCCTTCCGACGGCCCGGGACGGCCCAAGTGCTCCCAAAGATCGCCCAAGAGACCCAAGACGGCCCAAGAGGCCCGCAAGACGGCCCACAAAAAGGCAGGGGGCAGCGGTGCTCCTGAAACCGAAATGGCCAGATTACCTTTTGCACATGTGTTGAGTCGCTAACGTGACATGGCTGCCCCAATTGGAATTGGTACCGAACCATTAGCGATGAGGTGGCACACTAGATGCGGATGCCTAAGTATGCGTTGCGAAAGAATTCGGTGAACATGTAAACGCAGAATGTGTCAATGAGAACGTGAAAGAACCTTTACCAAATTATTTATCAAAATGAAGAGCCGAACCGTCACTCACGGTTCCTGGGCGCGTGGCTGACATGGCTTCCGCAGTGCGGATTGTTGTTGCTCTTATTGTTGGGGTTGATGACGTTGTTGTTGATGCTGGTGTTGATGCTGTGTGTGGTTGCTGTCAATATTGATGGCGGTGCCGATATTTGTAGTTGTGCTGGTGCTGATTGGATTTGTGTGTCGTGTCGTGGTGTTGTTGCTGGTGATAATGATGGTGTTGTTGTTGTTGTTGGTGTTGTTCTTGTTGGTTGAGGTTGTTGCTGCTGTTTGTTGTTTGTTGTTTGATGTCTTCGTCCCGCCAACGACCCGCGCCCTGTCCGCGACCCACCCGCGACCCATCAACGACCCACCCGCGACCCACCAACGACCAAACCCGCGACCCACCCAAAACCCACCCCGCGACCCTCCCGCGACCCACCCTGCGACCCACCCGCGACCACCCACGCGCGACCCACCCACGACCCGCACACGACCCACCCGCGACCCACACCCGCGTCACACCCGCGACACGCCCCCTCACACTCATCCGCATCTGCGGGGCTGCGGGCGGGTCGCGGGGTGGGTCGCGGATGGGTCGCGGGTGGGTCGCAGGGTGGGTCGCGGGTGGGTCAGGGGTGGGTCGCGAGTGGGTTGCGGGCGGGTCGCGCGGTGGGTCGCGATAGGGTCGCGGGCGGGTCGCGGCTGGGTCGCTGATCGAGGAGTAAATGACTGAACATGCGGGTGGAGCTTTACCTGGCGATTCGGTAGAGACCGAGGGTAATCATGGGAGTGGAGACGTGGATATGGATTTGCAAGCGAAGGTTTCGGTTGTCCACATGACGATTGTTTTCGGCAGAGCGCGACTGAAGATGTAGGTCAAGCTCGAAGAGGCGTGCGAAAACTCGGACGATGAACCAGGCGAATTTCGAAGAGGCAGGGAAGACATAACTGTCAAAATAAACCATGAGAGCGCGAGTGCATCCTTCGGCGAATATGGATATTAAGAGCGGCCGAGAGCCACGGGGGGGGGGGGGGGCGCCGACGAGTGCCGAGGGGCGGAGAGTTCTCACAAGCCTCTCGGGAGGCTTCTCAGAAGCTTCTCGGAAGCTCATCACAGGCCTCCCAAGGGGCTTCGCATAGGCCCCCCACGGGCCTTTCAGAGGCTTCCCGCAGGCTTCTCAGAAGCGTCTCAGCGGCCTCTCAGAGGCTTCTCAGGCAGGCAGAAGCCTCGCATAGACTTCTCAGAACCTCCTCAAACGCTTCCCAAATATCACTGACACGGCCAGGTAGGGACCGGCATCAGTCCAACAAACTACGTGCTAACTTCGTGGAGGTTCGCTCCAGTTGGTAGTGATCTGTCCTGGCCTCCTCCACCCAACCCTCCCGCCTGATCCTCGCCCCTCTTCCCTCCTCAGCGCTTCCCCCCCCCCTCCTCACCTCATCCTCCTTCCCCTTCTCCTTCTTCTCCTGCTCCTCCCCTCCTCCTCCTTCTCCCCCCCCCCCCCTCCCCTCCCCCTCCTCCACCTCCTCCCCCCTCCTCCTCCCTCCTCCCCCTCCTCCTCCCTCCTCCCCCCTCCCCCTCCCCCTCCTCCTCCTCTCCTCCCTCTCCTCCCTCCCTGGTCACAGGCAGCCGGGTGCCCGAGGGGCCCTCACTTTCTCCTCCTCCTTCCTCCTCCTCCTTGTCCTCCTCCTTATCCTCCTGCTTCTCAACTCCTTCTCCTCCTCCTCCTTCTCCTCCTTCTTCCTCCTCCTCCTCCTCCTCCTCCTCCCTCCTCCTCCTCCTCCTCCTCCTCCTCCTCCCCCTCTCCTCCTCCCCCTCCTCCTCCTCCTCCTCCCCTCCTTCTCATCCCCTTCTCTCCTCCTCTCCTCCTCCTCCTCCTCCTCCCCCTCCTCCTTGTCCTCCTCCTCCTCCTCCTCCTCCTCCGCCTCCTCCTCCTCCTCCTCTTCAATTCTCCCATTCCTCCACGATGTCATTCTCCTGTTCCTGTTTAGTCCTCTCATCTTCCTCCTTCTCCTCCTCCTGCTTCTCCTCCTCCACTTCCTTCCTTGGTCACATGCGGGCTGCTGCCCGAGGAGGGTTTCCTCCTTTTCCTTCTCCTTCTCCTTCTCCTATTCCTACTCCGTCTCCTGCTCTTCCTTTGCCTTCCCCCCCCATCCTATCCCCCTCCTTCTCCTGCTCCTCCTATCCTGGCAATGCGCAGGCTGCTTCCCGAGGAGAGCTCTACTAAGTGAGGAAAACATCACCACACGTCGAGCCAGCACAGAGCAGGCGGCCCCGCGCTAATCGAGGCAGGTGCTCACCCACTCCTCTTTCAAGTGCATATTGGCCCACTCGACTCCA